GTTTTTAGTGCAATAAAACATTAACAATATGAAGAAAAAATACCCTAGTTGCACTCCGGTTCCCTTTCTCCTTGCTGACAACCAACGGCAAAGAAGCTAAAGGGGGAGGTGGCTGGTGTTGTCTTTGTCTTGACGACGTCGACAGTAGTGACACTGAATTGTGTATCTCTTCGAGAGAGTTGTGATACCTAGTGGCTGATGTTTTGACTTTGTTTCAACGGTGGTAGCAGCAGCGACGTTGGTGGTAGTTGTTGGGATGTGGTGCTCTTCTTTACTCTGAGCTGACCAAAGAACTATGCTTGGTCATATGTGGTTTTCTTTGTTCAGTTATGAGTTAAAGTGGAGTGCTTCTTAGGGGTCCTTTTACTGTTGTTTATGTATTCCTCATGCGTGTTCTCTCCTGGTTTCTTATATGGTATGCCTTGTAGTTTATGTTGGTGTCAAATGACTATGATTTTGTTCATATAAGGCTTTTTTTTTTTTTTATAGTTGGGATGTTCTGCGGTCCTTTCATGTGGGTATACTGTGTTGGTCTATAGTTACGATTCCCGTTGGAGGTCTATGTGTTAGTTTTCATTTTTTATTTGTTCTTTTATTGTAATGTTCCAAAGTGACCTAAATCAGACTCTTTTATTAGTCCATGACATGTGTGGTACTATTTTCTCCCATGAGGTTTGCCCCATGAGGTTGTCCTAGAAAGGTTTTAATGAGGCCACTGTATCATGTCATTCTTTGTACGTCTTTCGTTCTATGAATGAATTCCCTCTCTAAAATAATAATAATATTTGTCACGTTACTTGTCATATATTAGTTTTTTTTTTTATATACAAGCGATATTTTAGGAGGAGTAATCGAATTTAGGATATCGAATACAGGAGTAAATACTTTTAATCACTTGACTTAGGCCCAGTTTGGGATTACTGTCACTTTTTAAAAAAATTGCTTCTGCTGTGCTTTGAAAATAATTAGCTGTAAAGTAAATCAGCTCCATGTTTGGTAAACAATATTTTTAAAGTGCTGTTAGTACAAAAAGTAGTGTCAAAACCGTTTGGTAAATTTTAATATAAAATTGTTATAACTGTGAATAATGACTAAAATAGACATGATGTTAAAAGTATTATGTACTAATCATGTGGTAGTGATGGAGTGGAGGTGGTGGTGGTGATGAAGGTGGAGTTGGTGGTTGTGGTGGTGGTGGTGGTGGGGATGACGCTTGTGGAGGTGGTGGTGGTGTTGGTTGTGGAGGTGGTGGTGGATGTGGAAGTTTTGGAGGAGGTGGTGGTTGTGGTGGTAGTGGTGGTGGTGGTGGTGGAGGTGAAGGTGGAGGAGGTAGTGGTGGAGGTGGTGATGGCAGTGGCGGTGGTTGTGGAGGAAGTGAATGTGGTGATGCAAGTGGTGGAGTTGGATGTGGAAGTGGAGATGGTGTCATTTTTTAAATGATTGATAGTATTTTGGGAATTAAAAAATTCATTAAAGGTTCATCTCTGCTTATTTTGAAAGCAGCTTTGAAAAGCAACCCAGAGTCTGCTTTTAAAAGAAGCTCTCAAAAGGCCACTGCTTTTAAAATAATCGAAATATTTTATTTTTACCAAACACCTTAAACTGCTTAACTTTAAAATGAAACAAGTTTTTGGCCAAAAAAAAGCAATCCCAAACGGGGCCTTACAAGTCCCTTGCAACATACTAGTTAATTTTAAAAGGTTACGATAGTAACTATTGTCAACCATATTTTAAGAGGAAATGCAAACCTTCGTACGTCCATATCTGGTAATTCGGTCCATGACCTTTAAATAAAGTTTCATGCCATGTATTTTTGTTTGGTTTAACAAATAAACAACAAAAAGAAGATCATATGTTACACTTCGATATAATTCACATAGCAGTCATTGTCTAGCTATGACTATTTTCACTGCAGCACATAACACAAAGAAGATCAGCAGCAATGCTCAAACTATTGCGAACTTGAACCCAAATGGGAAAGGAAAATAGAAGGGTTAATCATTTTATTAGTCCCTGAATTTAGACCCGATTTGCATTTAAGTCCCTCAATTTCTAAAATCGTTCCCATAGTCCTTCAACTTCAGTTTCGTTAGGACAAATGGTCATGCTGTCAATTTTGTTAACTTTTTTGTTAAATGCAAGGGCAAAATGGTATTTTTGTATTAAATTGATTAAAATATGAATAACAAAAATAAAAACCTAAACTCTCTTTCCCCCCCCTTCCTCCATCCCGATATCTACTCCCCCAAAAACTTTATTTTTTTTATGTTGGTTTTTTATTTGATTTTTATTATTATTTTAAAGATATGATTTTTTATTCCTTTTTTTTTGTTTTAATATAAAAAATACCATTTTGCCCTAGCATTTAACATAAAAAGTTAACAAAATTGACGGCAAGACCATTTGTCCTAATGAACATGAAATTAAAAGACTACCGGAACGATTTTGAAAATTAAGGGACTCAAATGCAAATTAGGTCTAAATTCAGGGACTAATAAAACAATTAACCCAAAAAAAAAAACAAAAATAGCTTTTCACCATTCCAACATGACATATTATAAATAAAAAAACTTTAGAAAAACTTTATGTTTATACTTTCAAGTGAAAAAATTGTAACACAATAAGAACTTATTAGAAAATGACAAGTGACTAATTGAGAGTTTTTCTTTTTCCTCAAAATAGGTTCTCAAAGAGTTTTTATATAAAATGTAATGTTAGAATGGGTCCATTATGAAAAGCCCAAAAGGAAAAAGTTTCTCCGCCTAAGCTTTGTTTTTGTTTGATTTTAATGCTTGAATTTGACCTGCAACTTCTTTATGCTAACATAGCCAATTGATGCCAACATATATTAGATACCAAAAACACAAACCAACGATTCACCGTCTTGCAAGAGAACATATTACTAGCAATGAGCATAACGGCCCTATTGTTCTGATGGAGAGAAGAATCCACGATTAGCTTTTTGGGAAATTTCCGAACCAATAATTTCAACGAAATCTTTCGATTTCTTATTTTACCATGTTCAACTCTATGTATTCCTTTATCCGTAGAGTACATTGAATATACATAATGGCTATAACAGGGTTTCTGTTATTCGTATTAACAGCTACTTAGTGAGAAAAACATTCATATTTTCTATTAAAAAATCACGAACTTAAAGACATTCTTCTTGCCATTACTTATATGAATATTTATTTCACACACTGAAGAACAAATTTTAAAACCATTCTTTCTGTAAAAGTTTTTCATTGACAATTATCAATACTGAATTAATCTATATGAAAATTATAACATTGGTTGACATGTAAATTAACAAAGATAATGCATCCGACAGTGAAACATGAAAAAAGCTGCATAGAAGGTAAGATTGTGGATTGTGTATAACCAAACTTTCAACCAGCTAACCTAAAAGTTTGAATAATTAATAATTAATTAATTGAGAAACACCTTTTATGATCACCTCCCACACAAACACTAGAAATTAGAATAAAGTCCATGCACTCAATTAAGAGTTTTCAAGAATTATAAAAAACTACTTTTGGGAATGGTTTAATTTAGTGCCTGCATGGTTCCAGGATCAAAATTTAAAGTTTTTTATAACCTAAAAATGAAAAAGAAAAAGAATTCAAAATTAACCCCCTCCCCCTCCTTACTCAAAAGCTATACAAAGATTTGGCCTACCCTCATTCATTTTGTTTTTCTCCCCAAACATGTCTTCCTCTTGAAGCCTTTGTCCCAACTATAATAGGCAAGTCCTCTAGAGAACTCCTTAATTATATATTTATATACCTGCAAGGCCTCTATCTTTTCAAGTACTGAGGATATATTCCATTGGTAGTGTGATTGTGGTATCCATCTTTTCCTATACAGTCAGTGTGTCTTTTTGGCACAAAAGATGTGAAAGATCAGGGCATGGGTGTTTGTTTAATTAATTACTGCTTTCTGATTAAAGTTTACAGATGCCCCAACTGATCTAGTCTTTTTTTCTTGTACTGTTAATAATAAAATATCCCCCTTATGGGGTTAGCTTTATGCATGGTTGTAGGTCTATAGCTATAGGGGTTATGATTCCCCTCAAAGGCTCAAACTAGTCTCTTAACTGTGAAGGAAATTAATATACATATAAATACCCACTTTGAATCATATAAAAGTATGCATGTTAGTGCTGCACTTTATAGAGAAATCAAAACACAAATATATACATGATTTAAACTAACTTTCTAGTTTATATTATCGCTTGTACTCGAGAAAAAAGAAATCAGAGAGTCAGGCATTAATTATGATGACAATGAGCAAATTATTAAAATAAACAAAAATAGCTTTTGAGCAGCAATTCCTCAAATCTATATGAGTCATGATTCATGCTCTGTGATTGTGTCTCTACATGTGTATATTTTCTTGGACATTTTGGTTGTAATTTTATATTTTGATGCACATGGATAGTACTTGAAATTATATGATAAAGAAAACAAGCTTGCAATCTTGGTAAATTTGTCCAGACACTGCTCCTAGCCGGCAAAGAAACGGAAATGCTGGAGAAAAGTGGTTTCGAAGTTCATAAAATAATCTGGTAGATTAACCTTGAAGATGAGAATTAACCATAAACAAATATACAAGAAGACAAATTGCAAACCCTGCTGTACACACAACATTTCACAGAGTATATATCAGATAATTTAGGCATTGAAATTTGAACAAAGCAGAAGTAGTTAACTAATGCTCATCTAGCTTCTTCTTCTTCTTTCTGAATTTATATATCTTTCTCATTTTTGGAGTAGTACATGTGGTTTAAATGTACAAGAACAGAAACTATGTATCTTGCTTTAAAGAGAAAGGGATCTGATCATGGGTCTCTTTAATTATTTACACTCCAATAATTAGCTGAACATATTACTAAAAATGGTTAAGATCATAAGAAAACTATTCAGAATTATTACATTAATTATATGTTTCCTTATTTTTTTAGTCACAAGAACAAATTACAGAGAGAGAGAGAGAGAGAGAGAGAGAGAGAGAGAGAGAGCCTAATTAAGACTCATTTTGGGTTAATGAAAAATTGCGTACCAGGCATGAAAGCATTAAAGGGAATCAAGGGGTATGAAGAAGGAGGGTGATGCTGTGGTACTCGGTCTGCAGGATCAGGAGCTGATGAAGTGGAAGCAGTATTTGCAGCAGCATTAATAGAATTACTAGTTTTCCTATTTAACAATACATGATGGGAGCTGGAGCTTTGGCCTACAGTAGTGTAACAATTTTGATGATGATGATCAGGACCTTGATCATAGAGAATTCCCTTAAATACATGCCCTCCGATCACCACGCTCGTCTGATAAGCGTGCTGATCAACCATGTCTTCCACTGAGCTCACTCGAACACACTTAAAAGTTGCCATGGAATTCACTTCAGCTGGAAAATTCACCTCTTGATCTAGCCCTAAACATAAAGAAAACCCAATTAACCAAAATGATATCTACATTAATATTGATCATCATGAGAAAAAAATAATAATAATAATAATTCAAGCCACATACTAAAAGTGGTACAGTATTCCTAAACAGTATATCAGTACAAGTAAAAGAGTAAAGAAAAAGGAACTTATCACTGTTAGGGTTAGCATATGGACATCACATTTCCTCAAATTTAGAAAAACAAAAAAACAAAAAACAAAAATTCACAGTACTTGTTGAGGAAGACGGATTGGTGAGGTGTTCAGCTGGCCTCTTAGGGTTTTGGTGGTGATGTCCTTGTTCATGATGAAGCTGAAGGTGCTGTTGAGGAATAGCTGCTGCAGGAAGCTGCTGTTGGCGTCTTCTGTAGACAGGAACCCAAGTGCTTTTGACGTGGGTTTGGCAGTGAAACCCTTTGCTCTTACAGCAAGTCCTGCATCTCATGTACACACACTCCTTCTTTGCTTGGTTCCCACAGTCTTGGCATCTTGAAGCCATTATCACTCCTCCTTCTCCTCCTCGCTTCACCATCTGAATCTCATCATAGCCAGCTAATTAATCAAGACCAACCCCTTAAACATTTCAACTCATCCATGGCAATTTTGATGATCTTTTCTTTCTCTTTTTTTCTCTTTGATTTTTGCTGAAAGATAGATGGGTGTACTTATGGGAGGTGGGGGTGGCCTTTGAGTTTTGGGTTTGTGTTTGTGGGTCATTTAGTACTTGTGTGCTCATGTGAGGCCAGCAGCTCTTTAAAAAAACTAATCTCTCTTTTCTGAAGTGCTAAATAAGTAGGAATTTCGGGGAGTTTGAAAAGGATTCAGAGAGTTGAAAAGTAGAATTGCACCATTTGTTGTGCAACTTGACAGCTCCATCGATTCTGATTTTGAAGTATAAACTCTCTCTCTCTCTCTCTCTCTCTCTCTCTCTCTCTCTCTCTCCTCACCCTTTAGTTCACTGCAGTTAGCTCAGTCTTAACTCTTAATAACCCGGCAGGACCTGAACAGAAAAGCAAATTAGAGAGAGAGTTGAAAAAGGTGGTATGTTCTTTAAAGATAATATTGATGATAATGCAAAAGCATGGTTGTTTTTGGAAGTGTGTATTTTGTCTTCTTGTGAAATTAACTAATTTACCTCATCCACCTCTGCTTGATTACAAATACCTCTTCTCATTCTTCTACTACTGGAATGTCTTTCATCAAGCTGAGAATTTGAACCATCCACGAATTAATGTGTCAAAATAAAAATATATTTATTTGGAAACCTAAGTATGTAATTAGAATATTACAATGCTTATTGAAGCAGTTCTCATGAGGTTTAAGTTGATAATTAACTTGAAGTTGCCCTAAGAAGGTCTTAGTTAATGACTTAAAAATTGTAATATACCTAGTTAATGATAATTTGATATGTCTTAATTCCCCACTTTACTTATTAGAACTAATCTTATTATAGTGATATACTGTATGTTGGATTAGCGAGCCTTATTATACTTGAAGTTAATGTTCAATCATATTCGCATTTAGTGTATGTTCACAAAAATGTTATCATGTCGTACAGTCTAATAATATAAATATGTGTTGTTATAGGCTACAAATATTTTTTATTAATTAGGTTAGTAGTTATATAAATGTATAGTACAGGTTCAGAGTTTTAGCAAACAAACGCAACTTTTAACGTATCCCATATTGAAAATTTGGTTCCGCCAAGATGCTTAAGGGCAACATAAGATAATTGGTACTTAGCATGATAAGAGAACATTCTCCATATGGTGTAGATACATACACACCCACAAAGATGTGCCTTTCCTTTCTCAATTTCCTTTTAGCTATAAAGCATCGACATCATTATTTTTTTTTGGTAAAAATTGCTATAGTTTGCCTAGAGCCACAAATTTGCTCATATTCTCACCGTACAATTTATACAGTGTGCGAGATGCTTACTATACATGATTGTATGATGCATCTCTGTGAGACTAGTCTGTCAGCTTTTACAAACATATTTGGTCCCTGCTCCCGAAAACTCGCATTGATGTCTGACCGCTCT